GTGTTCTTGCTGTGCTGGGAATGAGTTGTGGATGATGACGAGGATTAAGCTAGAGGTTCTCTCTGTCTTCTCTGTCCATCCTCACAGAATGACGGAAAGTGTGACTATGAGCAGCATGTAATTTGCAGAGTGAATCTTTCACATAAGTGTCTAAGCAACTGCATGCTTCCAGAGCAGTGATGTGGGCCCTTAATATGCCACAGGTCAAGTGTGTGTAGGCTATGGGGAGTCACTTGGTAGGGAGGGGCTCTGCTCTGTTCTGGAATAGTTCTGGTGCTATCAGCCTGAGGCAAGCCTCATCTGGAATAGTGGAGCAAAAGCAGAAGGTCAACACCATTTGTTTTTTGTTTAGTCATTTAATTGTTATGCCCACTAGTAATTGGGCACTTTTTTTTTTTTTTGTGAAGCACCATGGGATACAGTTGTAGATTTACAAATCTTTGTGCTTGGGTTTCTGTCATACATTGATCAAATACCCATCCCTCCACCAGTGCCCATTTTCCACCACCATGGATAATATCCGCCCCCCCTCCCACCCTGCCTTTGTGGCAGAGCATTCTCTTTTGTTCTCTCTCTCCTTTTGGGTGTTGTGGTCTGCAAAAGAGGCATTGAGTGGCAAACATGTTCAGTCCATAGTCTACTTTCGACATGCATCTCCCCTCCTGGGAGGATCCTCCAGACACCCTTTATTTGGTGCTCCCTTCTCTACCTGAACTGCCCTTTCCCCTAGAATACCCGGCTGGCCTCTAAGCTATGGAGTAATCCTCCTGGTGTTGATCTCAGCTATTCTTGGGTATTAATCTCATATTTTGTTACTTTATATCCCCCAGATGAATGCAATCTTTCTATGTCTATCCCTCTCTTTCTGACTCATTTCGCTTAGCATGATACTTTCCATATTGTACCACTTGTATGTAAATTTCATGACTTCATCTTTTCTAAGAGCTACATAATACTCCATTGTGTAGATGTACCAAAGTTTCTTTAACCAGTCATCTGTTCTTGGGCACTCAGGTTTCTTCCAGTTTCTGGCTATTGTAAAGAGTGCTGCAATGAACAAACAAGTGCAGATGTCACTTCGACTACACATTTTTGCCTCTCTGGGGTATATTCCCAGGAGTGGTATCGCTGGGTCAAATGGGAGCTCAATTTCTAATTAACTGACCTTTTATTAGGTAGCAGCAGTAGGGCACTTTTTTTTAAAGTTATTCACAATGATTTATTACATTCAGCATTCCAACACCAATCCCACCACCATTACAGCTTCCTACCACCATTTTTCCCAACCACCACCCAAACCTGTCCCAATTGCATGCCCTAAATATTTTATTTTGTATTGCTTATTATGAATAATTCACTAAGGATGATCCAAAAAGATTTCCTTAAAAGAAAGTGTGTAGGGGCTGGAGTGATGGCACAGCGGGTAGGGCGTTTGCCTTGCACACGGCTGACCTGGTTCGATTCCCAGCATCTTATATGGTCCCCCAAGCACTGCCAGGGATAATTCCTGAGTGCAGAGCCAGGGGTAACCCCAGAGCATTGCTTTGTGTCACGCAAAAGAAAGAAAGAAAGAAAGAAAGAAAGAAAGAAAGAAAGAAAGAGTGTAAAGATTTTTGTATTTTACCTTGGCACCAGTAAGCCCTTGTATAATAGATTACTAACATGTTGTTACAGGATGAGCCTTGTATGCTAATATTTTCTTAATTGAGATTGGTTACCTTCAACTTTATATCCCATCCAATATGGTGTGCTGTTTCTGGTATATCAGTGGTTAGAGTTTGAGATGTCACTCCAGGAATCTGAAAACTTAAATGGAGTGATACAGCTGGAGTTAAATTTTAATTGGATGGTGACTTTGGGGTCCAGAAGCATCTCTGCAGCTTGTTGATCTCTTTCAAGATTTATTTATGAGTCTCTGGATCATGGCTGGTTAATGAGTTTATATGGTGCCAGAGGCAGTTTGTGGGTGTGACTGCCGGGCTCCTGAAAAAATGGGGGTTGGGAAGAGGTTGCTCATCCCCAACTCTGTGAGAGGACAGGCACATTTTTTAAAGTTTGGTTGTAATTTTTCTCATGCTTGCTTGGCTGTGTGATTTAGATGTACACATATAGCACACCTCGACCTCCTGTGTGCCCAAGCCCCCTCACCCCATCCCTGTTACTGTCCATCTGTTTCTTCTTCCTCCCTCAATGTCTTTTCTTCCCTGTCCTGTTTTTCTATAATCTGAGGTCAAGGGTAATTTAGGTATCCCCCTTTGATACCTTGTATTCCCTTTCCTATTCTTCTGTACACTACAGATAGGGGAGATCATCCAGTATTTGTGTTTTTTTTTTTTTAATTTTATTTATTGAATCACCGTGAGAGCAGTTACAAAGCTTTTGGGTAACTTCACCAGTGTCCATTCTCCACCCCCCAAAACCCCAGTATATCCCCATCCCACACTCTTCCCCCTACCTGTGGGGCAGATTATTTCCACATTATTCTGTCTCTACTTTGATTACATTCAATATTTTGACATCAGACACACCATTATTATTTGGGATTTTACCCCATCACTCAGTTCTTCTAAAAAGGCAACAGTATGGGAGGATGGGGGGGAGGGATATTATCCTGGTGGTGGAAAATGGGCACTGGTGGAGGGATGGGTATTTGATCGTGGTATGACCGAGATCCAAGCACAAAAATTTGTAAATCTACAACTGTACCTCATGTCGTTTCACTAATAAAAAAGAAAAAAAAAAGGCAACAGTAGACAAGTTGTTTTCTATTGCTGGTTATGAATAACACATGATATCGTGTGGCTGCAGTAGTGGCTGTGTGATTTTGAAATTCTGAAATTTTAACAGTTAAATCTGAAGGGTTGGGTTCTGAGATGTGTTCCTGAGTCTCTTGGATCATGGCCGTTAGAGCAGCTTGATCAGGAGCCAGAAAGGCCGTTAGTGGGTGTCGACTTGGGGTCTTGTTGGGGCGGGGAGGAAAGGGCAGACTCCACCCCCATCTCGTGAGGCCCCGCATATCTTGTCACTGTAGGCCCAAACCTGACTGTCCAGAGGCCTCTGGAGGATGGCGGCCAGTGTGCCGCCAGGGGAAACAGGCCAAGGCATGAAACCTGTTCCCACCTGGGGTTGCCCAGCGCCAGTAACCTACTTCAGGGACTGGACGCATTTCTGCCAAAAGCCGCTGGTTTCGCGATTTGTTTCTGATTCTCTGGGATCATGGCCATTAAACTGCTTGAACAGGAGCCAGAGACGCTTTTCATTGGCAGTAACTCGGGGTCTTCTTAGGATTGGGGGAAAGGGCTGTCTCCACACCTATCCGTGTCTCTTCACTGTTGGCCCAAACCTGACTGTCCAATGGCCTCTGGCGGATCGTGGCCACTGAGCCACCAAGAGGGAGCAGGTGGAGGGACAGCACCCTTTCCCCCCTGGGGTGGCCTGGTGACAGTAACCTACTGCGTGGTCTGGATGCATTTCTGCCAAAAGCCGCTGTTTCGAAGTCTCTGGGATCATGGCCGTTAAGCAGCTAGATCAGGAGACAGAGAGGCCGTTTGTGGGCAGCAACCCGGGGTCTTGTTGGGAGGGGGAGGAAAAGGCCGGCTCTACCCCCATCTAATGAGGCCACGCGTGTCTCATCGCTGTGGGCCCAAACCTGACTCTCCAGTGGCCTCTGGAGGGTGGCGGCCACTGGGCCGCCAGGGGGAACAGGCCAAGGCATGAAACTATTCCCACCTGGGATGGCCCAGCACCGATAACCTACTGTAGAGACTGGACTCATTTCTGCCAAAAGCCATGGGGTTTCGAGATTTGTTTCTGAGTCTCTGGGATCATGGCCATTAAGCAGTTCAATCAGGAACCAGAGAGGCCATGCCTCCAATTATATAGCTGAGCCTGAGGTGGTTTGTGGGTGTGTCTCCCACATACCTAACTTTTGGCCATTTACTTTCTTGGTAAGCTTTGCCCCAAGTTTTCGGGGTCTGGCCAAAGGCACAGCAGCAATTTTGGGGTATCAGGAATCCTGAAGGCACCATCAGACTGCTGATGCACTTGCCTCATAGGTACAGATTGACCTGCTGGTGGCACCATACCCTCTGTTTGTCCTTCTGACCTGTTTCACTTAACATGATTCCTTCCAGTTCCATCCAAGTTGCAGTAAGTTGCATGATTTCATCATTCCTCGAAGCACCTAATATTCCATTGTGTATATATACTACACTTTCATTTCATCAGCTCCTGTTGGGTTAATTCAGTAACTTACATTTTACTGAGTGGTGCAGTGAATAAAAGAGGTATTGCCTTAACTAAAAAGGCCCTTTTCTTGGTGTACTTTTTGGGTGTGCTTTTTTTCTGGGTCAGGGTGGCTCATGGATGGGCTTGGAGAAAGGGGGGCACCCATCTCATTAGGCTGTAAGAACCACAGAAGGAGGGGATGAGTAGTATGAACCAAACCATTTTATAGTCATCTGTGTCTGTCACCCTAAACTGATTATGTCATATATATATTATCTGAACAGAGTTCAGCTTTATTAACAAATTTTGTTTTTTTAGGTAGTTGTTCTCTGTTTCTGTAACTTTGTCTAGGAAGAAGATAATTTATAGTAGTAACTTGGTAACTTGTGTTTCCTCCTTAGTTGCTCAATTATTTCTTTTCTAAGCATGAAATAACCTATAAGTATTTTTATTCATCAATTTATCAAATACATTCGTAGAGTTTTGGCAATTAAATTTCTTTTTCAAAATCAGGTCATTTTTTGATAAAGGTTCCTTGCAGCATTTCTGTTGTCTAAAATGATTCAAAAATTAATTCAGATTGTGTGACAATAAAACTTTTTCAGAACCTAGATTTGTAACTTATGAGGTAATGAACATTTGAATGTTTCAGGTAGAGCACCAGTTCACTTTTCTTTTTCATTTATTTTAACCATATTTTGTCCTGTCTCTGTTAATATACTTTAAATTTCGCATGTTAAAATATTTCTCTCTGTGTACTATTTTCAATATAGGAAATAAAGTCTTTACTCTCACTTTTTGGAGGACAGTTCACAAGCAGTCAAGAAACATATGGGAAGGTAAATTGCATTTCTTTTTTTAATTAGAACATTTCTGAATAGAACTTTGGATTTGAAGATAAGAAACACACATTTTAAATTTATGTTCGTGTAAGTTTCTTGTGTCTGTTTCTCAGGTCTACAAATAGTGATATTGGGGGAAAATTTAGTTTTGAAAATCAATTTAGACTTAGTGCCTGTATTCATTTATTTTATTGGTTTTAATGTAAATAATCATATTACCAGGTGCTGGTGGAGGTAGAAGTAGGGATTTAGTATGTTTTGCTTTGGGTGCCAGGGACCTGAACTGGCATGGCATACAGTGAAGCTCTGAGCCACATCCCCACCTCTTGTTTTAAAATTTTAATTTAGTAGCTGTACCCCAATTTCTATTTGTTCCACCATTGAGAACATGGCTGTCTTTTGTGCAAGTTAGAATGAAAACTTAGAATCATATGAGATTTATATTGGGAGTCATTTTAAAGACTAATGTGCATGTATGGTTCTGAATTCTGAACTTTGTATTTGATGGTTTTTCGGTGTATTTAACAAAGTTTGGAAAATAGAAAAGAAAAAAAGGTCCTTCACAATTCTCATGTCCTTGACATGACTTAACAAGTTGGGAATAGTGCCTGTCAGTCCTTTTCCCCCTCGCGGTGGTAAATACTGTTTTTGAACTTACGTAGTCTGTCTTTTCCACTTTTTCCATTTGTAGCTTATTGCTCCATAATAGCCTTTAGCGCTAATAGGGCCATGCAATATTTTCCATTGTCACCATCACTGATCTAATGATTTATTTCATTAAGAGTGCTTTGAAATTTTTCTTAAGAAAAATATATTAAAATTATGATTTTTTTCCCCTCTTGGGATAATTTTTATTTTTTTGATAGAGCATTGCAACTATTATTGGAAGAAGAAAGACTGGTTGTGGTAGGGAGGATTTCTTACAAAAGATGTGAGAAAGTTGCCCTGTTTCGTATTTCTCTGTCTCTCGCACTATTGATGGATTTTGAAAGAGCAGAGTATGGATATAATTGGGTGAGGATGCTGACCTGAAAGGAATGGGCCAAGCTGAATTTCCTATTGTTCTAGCCAACGGTCATTCAGGTAGAGTTAGAAGTGCCTGTAATATTTTGTTTCTTTTGTTTCGTGGCCATACCCAGCAGTACCCCTGGGCTTACTCCTGGCGCTGTGCTCAGGGATCACACCTGACGATGCTCAGGGGACTATGTGTCAGGGATCGAACCTAGGTCGGCAGTGTGTAAGGCAAGAAGCTTACCTGCAATATTATCTCTCTGGCCCAAAGTAATTTTGAGCATAGAGACAGAGGATTGGGAATTCTCCCCCTAATGGAACTGAACTCCCCCCGCCCCTTAGGTTAATAAAAATCATTGACAGTTGTTCTGTAATTTTTCCTTTTAGTTATTTATGCAGACCCCTCACTTCCCTGCAGGTAGCCTGACTACTTAGAAGAGAAATCATTAAAAGTAATATATTATTTTGCAGTTATATATATATATATAAAAAACTCATGAAATTAAGAATTTTAAAATTTTGCATTGGGCTATAACATACATTATTTCTTTTGGTCAAGCTTTATTAGAGAAAAAAATCACAAAATTAACTTGAAATTGAAACATCCCTAAATTTACATATATTTTCACCAATCAGGTGACATGGAATTGTTATTACACTGTACTACATTATTCTAATAAAACTTGCTAAGATAATTTGAATTTTAGTTGAAATATTTTTTATTTTGGTGAGAGTGTATTATTACTTGATTAGGTATTTTTACTTGAAAGTAGTAAGTAAAAATCCTTTCTTACTGGCTTCTTGAATAAAACCATATGAAGCCATAAAAGTCACAGAAATAAGATATATGTTGTTATTTCTTTCAGTCTCCTTTTTGGATTCTTAACATTCCCTCTGAAGACATTGCCAGAAATGTAATGAAACGGACAGTGTGTGCCAAGTAAGAGAAAATTGTAATGTTCTTCTGAATGAACATCCTTGTACATCTCATAACATGTTTCAGCGAATGCTTGATTCTTGGGAGGGAGCTCAGTTTAGCTTGCAGTTCCTAGAGTTTGCCACTGGGTGACAGTGGAAGAACAGAAGAGAGCTATCTGCTGGACTCCCAGGGAAGAATTTCAGTAGTGAAATGGCAGCAGCACTTACCTAAAAAACTTTCATATTAAGCAAGAGTATGAGATATTGACATTACATTATTACATATAATTGAGATGCCAAAGATTACAATGAACAATTTGAACCTGAAAATAAGAAAATTTTCTTATAGATGACTTTTAGTTATTTATAGAAAGAAAGAAAGAAAAGGCCCTCCCGTTGATCGTCGATTTGCTCGAGCGGGCCCAGTAACGTCTCCATTGGAGACTTTGTTGTTACTGTGTCTGGCATATTGAATACTCTCGGTAGCTTGCCGGGCTCTCCGAGAGGGGCGGAGGAATCGAACTCGGGTCGGCCATGTTGGCCCCTTGTAAGGCGAACGCCCTACCCGCTGTGCTAAATATTTATTTATAAGAAATTGTTAGTTATTTATAAGAAATAAATAACTAAATTATTTTATTTATGAAGGTCAAAATAAATATTTTAAAATAGGTATTTTATTTATTTTATTTGTGCATATTGGCGAAATATAAGATGAAAAGAAGGAATATTTCCTTGAAATATGTTTCACTGTTTCATTTTTTAGAGGAATTTTGACTGTTATATCTTGGTGTTAATATAATGATGTTACTTATCCTGTTTTCTAGATTTTATTATTGTCATTGCTTTTCTTTTCATTGCTTTGCATTATTGGAGAATTTTGTGTCAATAGATTTGAAAATAAAATTGTATGTTAATTACCATCTTAAAAATTGAGCAATTCATATGATTCTTGAAGTTTCTTTTTTTCTGGACAATTTGTGTTTGAACATACAAATACAGGATTAAAGCTTGGAAGTTGTTGACTTAAATTAAGTTTTCCTTTGGTATAAGATTAAGTTCCTGTGTGTGGTTTGAACTTAAGCTACATTTGTTTTCAGGATGCATATTTCTTATTGATAGTGTAGACAATACGGGAAATACTTGCTTTAGTGGAACAATAATCATAAAGAACTAATGAAATGGTACATTTTATTGTGTGAACCAATTGCTTTACTGAGGTTGGTGCTGTTTATTTCCTAGGTCTATATTTGAACTATGGGGTCATGGAAAATCTCCAGAGGAACTGTATAATTCTCTTAAAAGCTACCCAGTGGAAAAGATGGTGCGTAGTGCAGTGTAGTTTCTTACATATAAATCTGTAGGTCTGATAGAATAACTGAACTTAAAGTACCTGTCTGCTTTTATTTTAGGCTCCATTTCTACGTTCAGACTCTACATATAAAATAAAGATTCACACATTCAATAAAACATTGACACAAGAAGAAAAAATAAAACGAATAGATGTAAGTAAAGTTAGTGAAAGCCCAGATGTAAGTAAATTTAGTGAAAGCCCCCAAACTATGAGATTAATGTAGGTTGGTCACTTTTGACATATAATATCTGTGCCTGCTAAGTATTCATTTTATACTTAGTGCTAAGTATACTTAGTGCTCAGTATAAGTGTGTGCTAAGTACTCCTTTTGTTTTGTTTTGTTTAATGTGACTACCCAGACTTACAAATGTTATTGTATAAATTTTGTATATTTTCTTTTTTATGGGATATTAGAATTGCTTTTATTTATTTAAAAAAAATTTGTAGACTGGGAGGGAAATGAATAGACAAATTACCTTCTATCCAATCATCTTCTCTAGCTCGTGTCTTTTTTTTTTAATTTTTTTTTTTTTATTAGTGAAACACCATGAGGTACAGTTGTAGATTTACAATTTTTGTGCTTGGGTTTCGATTATACAATGATCAGATACCCATCCCTCCACCAGTGCCCATTTTCCACCACCATGGACAATATCCCCCCCACCCCCATCCCCCCGTGCCTCTGTGGCAGGGCAATCCCCTGTGTTCTCTCTCTCCTTTTGGGTGTTGTGGTCTGCAAAAGAGGCATTGAGTGGCAAACATGTTCAGTCCATAGTCTACTTTCGACATGCATCTCCCCTCCTGGGAGGATCCTCCAAACACCCTTTATTTGGTGCTCCCTTCTCTATCTGAGCTGCCCTTTCCTCTAGAATACCCGGCTGGCCACTAAGCTATGGAGTAATCCTCCTGGTGCTGATCTCAGCTATTCTTGGGTATTAATCTCATATTTTGTTACTTTATATCCCCCAGATGAATGCAATCTTTCTATGTCTATCCCTCTCTTTCTGACTCATTTCGCTTAGCATGATACTTTCCATGTTGTACCACTTGTATGTAAATTTCATGACCTCATCCTTTCTAACAGCTACGTAGTACTCCATTGTGTAGATGTACCAAAGTTTCTTTAACCAGTCATCTGTTCTTGGGCATTCAGGTTTCTTCCAGTTTCTGGCTATTGTAAAGAGTGCTGCAATGAATAAACAAATGCAGATGTCACTTCGACTATACATTTTTGCCTCTCTGGGATATATTCCCAGGAGTGGTATTGCTGGGTCAAATGGGTAGCTCGTGTCTTAATGTTTCAAAACTTAATTACCATGACAGGAAAGCAGCCTTAAGCTAGGCTCAATATTTTGGTCAGGAATTACTTTTATTTTTCAGGCCCTTGAATTTCTCCCATTTGAAGGAAAAGTCAACTTAAAGAAGCCACAGCATATATTTTCGATTTTGGAAGATTATGGTTTGGATCCAAACTGCATCCCAGAGAACCCACTGAATATTTATTTTGGTAGATGGGTAAGCAAGTTTTCTTTTTTTGTGTGTTCATTTGTTTCTTTAATGCAGCATTCCAGGTTTTTGTATTTAACTCTTTGCATTTAGAGCTTTCAGGCAACTCAAGAGTTAAAACTACTGTGTGAATTAAAAATCATTGAAGAGTATGTGGTCATGTGTTTTGTTTTTCTAGAGATACCTATGAAATGCTTGAGCTTGTTAGATGAGTTCAGGTACAAAGTAGAAGGTGTTGTGCCAGAGAACTCACCGAAGACTAGCACAAAAATATCTGACTTTTTTGTTAAAGCATAGAAAAAGGTAGAGTATTATGATAGTTAAGGGACTTTGTGAAGTTGTTCAATCTTGGTTTCCATTCTGAGAAGAAATGAAATTACTACAGAGAAATTCTGCCCACTTCCTTGAAGCTCTGAGTGGAAGCTATGTCTTATATTGCAGAATATTGCTTTGGAGGGAAAAAAAGAGATGAAGAAAGCTTACTCACCACCAACCCTGGAATAACTGCTTTCAAATTCCAATTGAACTTTGGTTTGAAAAGTCAAAGTAAATTGCAACATACTGAAAAAAGTTATTTGTCCATAACTGTGTCAGTCATTTTTTATAAGCAACAAGTTTAGGCAGTTATAGTGGGAAGGGAATTCTCATTTAGATTCTGTGGTTTCACTATGAATAATTCTCAAGATTTTTCTGTACACTTAATCCTAAATTGAAAGTATCTCTGATTTAGATTGCAGATGGACAGAGAGAGCTAATTGAGTCATACAGTGTCAAAAAGAGGCACTTTATTGGAAATACAAGCATGGATGCTGGTTTATCATTCATCATGGCCAACCATGGAAAAGTGAAAAAAAATGATATTGTCTTCGACCCATTTGTTGGAACAGGTACTTTAACTTAAACTAAAGAAGAAGTGGTGCTTATTTATATTTGCCAAGGTGATATTTTTGCTAAAAGGTTAAATGGAAGGAATTGTTAGACATAATTAGATAATGACTGAACTAACCACATATTTAATAGCAAGTGTTTTAACATCTTGCCACTTCAAAGTTGATAGCTACTACTTTGTGGGTTTTCATAAAATCCGTTGTGGTGGTAGTGGGGGCCCACCATGTATTGCAACACTATGCACTATAGAAATAAAAGGCTGTATTGTTTATTTATTAATTTATTTTTAAAAGACATCTCTTGGGAGGGAAGAAAGACTTCAGCAACAAGATTTTAAAATGTCTTTTAAATTGATGACCACATACTTAGATAGAAAAATAGTTATAATGCCATATCTTTGGTTTGGTTTGGGTTGGAGATTTTTAATTGTGAGAATAAGAAAATGGCTGTAGCAGTGGGACCCCCCCCCCCCCCCGTGTTTTTGATTGGGGTGGGCTTGTAATAAACAGGATATTGGTTTTAAAAATTTTAAGCTTATCTGACTCTGAAAAATTTCTCTGCCTCTGTTCATTTCTGCTTGATTACTGCCCCTACTTAAGAATGCTCATTCTTTGGTTTGCACAGCTAAGTCCATTGTGATCCAGCCTGTGTAGGAACGATTTATACTGTGGTTAGAGTTCTTCCCTGGAGCCATCTTTCCCCATCAGAAACTTTATAAGCAGTGATGCAAAAGCTAACATTTGTTGAATAGTAAACACATGAGGCTTTATGCAATGCTCTCCTTCTGGGGTGAAGAGTCATTCCCAGTGGTGCTTCAGGGACCATGTGGTGCCTGACATTGAGCCCTGGGCATCTGCATGTAAAACATATGCTCCAGTCCTTTGGGCCTCTTACTGCCTTGCACTGCTCTCTGTGTTTCTCTGTCCTGTCTCTGTCTCTGTCTCTCTCAGAAGACCTGGTGTGTTGGACTACACCCTGTAGTGCTCGGGGTCTACTGCTGCCTCTACTTCAAGGTCCCTCCTGACATTGCAAGGCTCAGGGGACCATGTGCTGTCGACCAAACATGGCCTCTCAAATACAAAGAATCACCTCTACCTATTGAGTTTTTTCTCTGGCCCTGTAGTTACTACTTAATTTAATTTTTACAGCAGTTAGTCCAGAGAACTTTTTAAAACTTTACTGGGGAGATATTTTTGGGCTTTTTTGTGGCCATACCCCACGGTTCTCAGGGTTTACTTCTGGCTTTGTTCTCCGGGATCACTCCTGGTGTGCTCAGGGGATTGTATTGGGTGCCAGGGATTGAAACTGGGTCAGTCACAGACAAGGCAAATGCCGTACCTGCTGTACTATCACTCCGCAAACCTTTACGAACTATTATGATAGCCCTATCTCAGTTCGTGTTAGAATTTGTTAGTGATTGTGTTATAAACTAACTTTGAAACATGACAGGTAATTAAAAAGGAGTATTAAGGTTAAAGATTCTAGCTGATGAAAGTTTTTTGTTGTTGTTGTTTCTTCGTTGTTTCTTCTATTGGTTTATTATTGAATTGATCTGGTACCTGAGTCTGTGCTCTCATTACACGATTTTCTCTATCAATCCCATCCTCATACTACACATCTTTTCTCCCTATCATCATTATCTTACGTACTTCCTCCAACTTTTTAAGCTTTTACTGGACATAAAATTAAAACTTAGAGAAAAGTTTCAGAAATAAAAGTAGAATGAAGAGTATCCAATTATCTTCTGCTCATTTTAAACTGGTTTTACAATTTCCCTTTAACTTTTTCTTTTAGTTTATTTACATACTTTTATTTACCACTTGAAAATTCCATTCATTGATCCCTTTACCCTTTAGATATTTCAGTGTATGTTGAGAACTGAGATACCCATAAGAATAAGATTGGTCTCTTACATAAGCACAACACAGCAATGTTAGTTAATGTACTTTAATGCAATATTTAGACATTCCTATTCCATTTTTGTTGACTGACCCACTAAAGGCAGTCACAAGGCTGGTGATGTGGCTTGGTGGTATAATTGCCTATATGTGTGAAACCTTGGGTTCGATCTCTGGCACCACACGCACAAAACAGTTAGTACAATGTTACTTTTGATAAGCTACTTATGATAGTACTTGATTTTCTTACAATATGATTACTAATTATTCCCCATGCAGTTAATAGGCAATGCCTGACGAAACACACTAAGAATCGTAAATATTGTGTACTGCGAGAAAATACTCCCTCATTTTCTCACTTAATCAGGCTTGGCTTCCATTGATGAGCCTTACATGAAGCAGTCTTTGATAGATGCAGAGGAATGGCTTTGCAACGCCATATTCCCTCCAAGTTTACCAGTTACTGTAAGCCAGAGCCCTTCTTTTCACCGGCATACTTATTATTCTGAAACTGATGGGTTATCTTCTTTTCCCCAAGTCTGTGATTCACTGCTTCCTTTATTGTTTTTTTTCCCTCCCTTCCCTTGCCTCTGTTCCTGTTGTGATGACTGGAGCTCACACATGCTTGATTGTGGGACTTGCATGTTTGATTGTTGGACTTTACAAGTAGCACACATCAGGTTCTTGTCCTTGTATATTTGGTTGGCCTGGTACTTGCCTGGGTGCTCTCTCCCTCTCTCTCTCTCTCTCTCTCTCTCTCCCCCCCTCCCTCCCCCTTTTTCTCTTCTCTCCCTCGCTCCCTCTCCCCTTCCTTCCTCCACCCTTCTCTTTCCCCGCTCTCTTTTGTTCCTCATTTTCTCCATATGTAAGTCCCAGTATCTGTCATTTCTCTAGCAAAGAGATTATCTTTCTTGTTTTTATTCACTCCATGGGTATATGTGTTGGCAGTTGTCCTTTCTTCAATAATTGGGCATTTTTGGTATTTATGTTTGCAGTGAGCAGTGTTGTGTATATAGGCCATCATAATGTTGAAGAGAGAGCTTTTGGCAGATTCCTAGAAGTGGAATTTGAAGACTGTCTGCATGGTTGTTTGCTAAATTCTTCTCTATTATTCCTTTTTGCATTCCTGCTAGCAATATTATAAGGATCCCTGTTTTCCCACAGCCTTATCAACAGCATATATTATCAGCAGAATATATTCTCCAACATTTGAGGTTTTACCTTTACATGTATATACACACAGGCACACACACCAGACCACAAAGTTCATAAGCCATGAGCACTGCTGGGTATGGTTCAGAAACATAAAAAAAGAGTTCCCGGTGTAAGTCAAATATCCTTCCCTTGATGAAGACGATGCTTGGTATATTATAAAATGCTGTCTGCAACCAGCAGCCAAGTTATCGACTACCTTGATAATGCTAAGGGCCAAGAACACCATTTCTGAGTTAGTTTTAAGTTAACTCCTTAGAGTGGGTAACATATTTGAGCTCATATGGTTGTTTATGTAGCACTGTAGCACTGTCCTCCCGCTGTTCATCGATTTGCTCGAGCAGCACCAATAACGTCTCCATTGTGAGACTTGTTACTGTTTTTGGCATATGGAATACTCCACGGGGAGCTTGCCAGGCTCTGCCTTGCAGGTGGGATACTCTTGGTAGCTTGCCGTGCTCTCGGAGAGGGACGGAGGAAACGAACCCGGATCAGCCATGTACAAGGCAAATGCCCTACCTGCTGTGCTATTGCTCCAGCCCGGTTGTTTATGTAGGACAATTAATGGAAGATTACTTGAAAAATATATGGGTTAATTAACAGAAAATGGGAGAGAAAGATCTTTGCAAAGATGGTACTAAAATACATTTTCCTATTGTGTTTGTAGTTTAACTGTACTAGTAATTGTGGGCAGGCGCAGTTTGTAAGTAAACTGATCCTCTTTGTTTGGCTATTTTTTTGATGGGAAGTACCTGTTTAAGGATTGAAGAAATCTGGCCCTTGCTGTACCATCCTCCAGAGATTTTGTTTGTTTGTTTGTTTTTGGTACACCCAGTTGTGCTCAAGGCTTACTGCTGTCTCTACATTCAGGAATTATTCCTGGTGGTGTTCGAGGTGCTGGGGTGCTGTGGATTGAACTGGGGTCATCTGTGTGCACGGCAAATCCTACCTGTTATAGTATCGCTCTGGCCTCTAATGATCATAGATTTTCAAAAAGTATTTGTTATTTTTTCCTTCTGTTTTCTTTTTCAATATTTTAAAAGTTTGAAAGTGGGTATATTCACAGTATTTGTAGTTGACAGCAAGAATATGTAACAATTACCCAGCAAAATGTACTTAAGAAACTATAATCTTATACAGTTTGTATTATTGTCTCATTACAATTTTTTCCTTATTTTTATTCATTTTTGGGGTGCCACATCTGGTGGTGTTCAGGGCTTACTGCTGGCTGTGGAGCTCAGGGATCACTTCTGGAGGGGCTTGGGGTCTGTATTGGGTTTGAACGTGGGTAGACTGCAGGCAAGAAGAGTGTCCTACCCCACTGTACTCTCTTTGTGCCCGCCCTTTAAAAAAATTATAGTTTAGATTATGTGTTGACAAAAATACTGACATTGGCGGTGTTGAATTAAGCATTTACTTCACCACCACTATAGTGTCCAGAGCCCCCAACCTATGCCCCTGAGTCACTTCCAGCCCACATATTCCAGCCCAAGGACTTAAGACACTTGCCTGGCCTCTTTAAAAAACATTTAGGTATGTCCAATCCTTTTTTCAGTTAAAGACACAAAAATAGAAAAATATTAATTTCCTGAATATATAAAGCTTGTGGGAAACTGGAAGGACAGAGTTAAACTTTCCCTCCCTAATTACCTTTTCCTTTTCTTTGACAGTCTGTTACTGTAAAATGTTATCGTGTCTTTTTCTGAGGGAAGTATTTGTCATTGAATCAGCTCTGAGCAGTTAGCAAGTCTAGTTCTAATATGAACATGGCTGAAAGAATGAGCAGCTTTGGGCCAGAGTGATAGTATGGCGGGTAGGGTGTTTACCTTGCACGTGGCCAACCCAGGTTGGATCCCCGGCATCCCATATGGTCCCCCAAGCACTGCCAGGAATAATTCCTGAGTGTAGAGCCAAGAGTAACTCCTGAGCATCACTGGGTGTGACCCCCAAAACAAAACAAAACAACAACAAAAAAAGAATGAGCAGCTTAAATATACTGAATACTCACAACTGGTGCAGTTTGCCCATGATAAAAGACTTGTAAGTGGTTTACAGCTCCTGTTAACTGAGTGTATAGCTTTACTTAGTTTGGTTTGTTTAACCTTTGTTTATTTAACTGACAAGCTAGTCTGTATTTATTTTAACTGGTGCTGACCTCAAAGGAGCTAGAATGGTATAGACAAAAGAGGAATTGAAGAATGTTTTATATCCTATTAGTTTCTATGTGATTTTGAGCAGGATTCTTAACTTGTTCGGGGCTTAGTTCCATTTGGAAAATGGTAATAGTTATATAAGGATTAAATGAGTTCCCCTTCCCTTTTTCTCTTCCCTTTTCTTTTCCCTCCCTCCCTCCCTCCCTCCCTCCCTCCCTCCCTCTCTTCCTTCCTTCCTTCCTTCCTTCCTTCCTTCCTTCCTTCCTTCCTTCCTTCCTTCCTTCCTTCCTTCCTTCCTTCCTCTAAGGACGGAACCAGGATCTGCCATGTGCAAGGCCATGTCCCTTAACCCTTGGGCTCTCTCCAGCCCGAGAATTAGGACTTTCTTGTTACCTGACACATTGTAGGCTCTACAGCTATTGTAAATAGTTAGTGAACTATAACTCGTAATTTGTGACTCTTAAATTATTGCAGCAGTGAAATCAAGGGTTAAAATTTTTTTCCCCTTAATTCTTTAGTTATAAAGACAATAATTGGTACAGTGTCTGCAATTGCTTTTGCTCTCTGTGGTGGGTTTCTGATGGAGCTCTGTTGCCATAGCCGACTCCTTTTGCCCTGCTTTTTTCCTTTCAAGCCGGTCAGCTCCTTTAGTAATTGAGAATATACCTTGGAGACTGTTTATTCTTTGGTCTTATCTGCCTTCAGATGATCAAAATGTAAGAAGGGAGTGTGGCTGTTGAAACTTTATCATTACAAAATGATAGGCAAAGAAGCTAGGTGCTAGGTAACTGTCCTGGTTTTGAGAGGATCCTATGGGAAGGAGAAGTGAAGAGGGATTGAATTTCTCTAAGTCTCTATAATATTTTTTCATCCCATTTTGTTCACAACTCTGTCCTGAGTCTTTGTCCCGAGTCTTCGAGTTTATCTAGTAGAATTCTGTTTTTTAGCAGTATCCTTTTTTCCCCAGTCTGCTGATTTTGAGTTCTTTTTTGAGAGAGCATACATAGATATAGTGTTATTCTTCTTTCTTTTCTCCTTTCCTTTCAGCAAAACCAAAGCCCAGTCTCTAATTTCCATATTCTTATAAAGCTTCACACTTAAATCTCTACAGATAAAAATTTATAAATTGGTTTTTATATAAATACAGTCCACTGATTTTCTCCTTTTGCCTATAAAAGATTACCCTAACCTTAAAGTGGTTATTTTTAAATAATAAAAAATTAAACACATGAATTGCGAGTCTGAATTATACATGTGGTAGTTTTATACTTGATGGTGTGGTAAGAGTACACTACCTGCCCTCTCAACACTTCACCCCTCCTTTTTTAAATCATCCCCTCTTCCAACAGAATGCTTCCAAGGAAACTCCAAGTAAGAACTAAGGTATAAATAATTGCAAAAGGAAAAAAAAAACCCTTAAGTTTCATTGAAAAACAACTAGAATTCAGTGCTCGCCCAATCACCAATTCGGAGAAGCTAATTTGTAATGATTTTATTAAAAAGTTTTAAAAGGCACAAAGTTAACTAACAGATACAGTCTAACAGATTATTCATCTCCTTTCAGCAGTGGTACTCTAATTTGGTACTCAAAACTCATTAACCAAATGGATAAGGTTCTGTTTAAGGAAGCACAGGAAAGATTTTCTGTTCCCTTGGCAACTAGTTCTTCTAGGTGAGTATCTGCCTTAAGTGGCAGAATTGTAGTAATTCCTCGTAATTGGGGTGAAGTGATTTTGTGAGTATTCCAAGTCATCAGATAGTAACTTGCTTGAAATACAAACTATTCCTTTGAGAGAATAATGTTCAGGCGGACTTACTTTACCGCTCACATAAATGTGTTTTGTAGTTAGTATGAGGGGATCTAGGTTTTGGTTTCTGCTGTTCTTATTTCTTTTCTTCGTGGATTCCCATAGAAAGTAGACAGAGGCCGGATTTTCACGAGCAAAGCATTGTTAATTGAATGTTACCAGATATTTTGTAAATGATTATAGAAGAAACACCATGACTATATAGCTCTTAACTCTCTGGAGAACACTGCTCATCTTAATTTTAGATATTATATTTTAAAAGGATATAAGGAAGAGTTCAGTTTTCTTCTCTTAGTTGAAGTCAGTGCATATCTTACCAGTTGAGAATATATTTCTGATTCCAGACACTAGGAATTAGGAATCATTAGAAATACTAGAAATTATGCCCAAGTATTAAGTATAGTTTAATTGGGATGATTAATGAAAATAAAGTTTAATGAAAAGTATGGTTATGAAAGAATTTGACTTTGTGAATTCTTTTTCTTAAAAACTTTAAAAAGTTGTTACCCTTTATTTTAAGGGGCTTCACTAATATAGGAATCTTTATTTGCATTCTCTTCATAAGTGAAGGTCAGCTCTGCTACTTACTTCAGTCAGTCAGGTTATTCTTTGAATAATTTGAAACATTATCTTTGCATTGGCCATGGTACTAAGTAAGCAAAAGAAGTCATCGTGCTGATTATTCTGGTGTAGGTTTGACAAGTTATTTAAGAATTCAGAGTTATAGCTTAAAATACAGATAACTAAACTATCTTGTTCTAATAGTTTCAATTTATAATAATTAATGGTTCCAACATTATATCCTCCTCAGTTCCTTGACACCGTAACTGCTGGTCTGTGTGCAGGCAGCTGCTGGGTCACAGGTGTGGAAACGCTGGTATAGCTCTCCAAGTTATAGGGAACTGTCTAAATTCCCTTTATTTTGAGAAGACGTATTTTCTTTAGTGCTGTTTAAAGCAGTGATACGTTATTTCTCTGTTTTGTGTCCAGTGTGGTGGATGCGTCTTAGTGGTTTTTTGTTTTCTTTTCTTAATCTTAGACCTGCTAAATATGGCCAGGGTTAGTGTCATTCTAGGACACTCTGTAGTGACTTTGTAAGAATCTGACTCAGATTAAACAGGGGAGGAAACAAGAGTTTGGCACTTTTTGGTTAACGGACTATCATTATGTGGTTTTTCAGGTGGCCTCCTAATAGCATCTGCCCATTTTGGTGCATATGTATATGGGACAGACATCGACTACAACACAGTTCATGGCTTGGGTGAGTGAAGTTTCTGAACCATTTTTTTAAAGTCTTTGCTTTTATAACAAGTGTGCTGTTAAGTAGTCATACTTACGGCCTTTTATTTTCAGTGGTAATTAAGGTAACAAGGTCATACTATTGTTAGCATTATGGTTTTGGTGTACAAAGTCATTTTCCCATTACCAGAGAGCTGAGACCCTCCACCACTGTCCTTCCATCACTTCTAGTTTGCCTCTTTCGTCCTCACTGCTCTCTTCTGCTTTGTAGCTTTGTCCCTGTAATCAAATTGCAAAAGTTTGTTATCATTTGATATGATCTGCTTCCCTTTTCTTTTTTTTTTTTTTAGTGTAGGAGTACTGCTATTTATTCAGCCATTGATTAAGCTGATTGAATTGGGCATGAACTCCACATTACTTTTTTTTATTCAGAATGTTTATTTTATTATTGTTTTATTATTATGATTTTTAATCACCGTGAGATACAGTTATAAAGATTTCCTGTTTGAGTTTCAGTCATACAATGATTGATCACCCAACCCTTAACTGGTGCACCAAGGTTCTACCACCAAGTTTCCCAGTATCTCCCCATCCCATCCCTCCCCCCTGCCTCTATGGCAGACAATCTCCCCCATGCTTTCTTTTGTATTGGTTGTTATAAATAGCATAAGATGTTGTGCGGCCGCAAGAGTGACCATGTGCTCCTGGAATTCTAAAATTTTAGATAATTAGGATCTGGAGGAATCTCTGCAGCGAGCTGCTTGGTTCGGAGATTCTTTTGTGTGTCTCTGGATCACGGCCATCACGGAGCTTAAGTAGCAGCTGGAGGCAGTTCGTGGGCATGAATTCCAGGATCCCAAGGGGATGGGGGTGGGGGGGATGAGAAGGACTAGCCCATCCCCTATCCCTTGAGGCCTGGATTTGTCCTCAGTGAACTTGCATACCTGCACTTCTCATTAGGTTCTGGAAGTTGGCGGCTGCCGTGGCTTTTAGGGAGCAGGTAGAGGGACAACGCCTGCCACCGTCTGAGGCAACCTGGTGTAGTCGGCCTGGCTTAAAGTCCAGAGGCATCTCTGCAGCGAGCTGCTCAGTTTGGAGATTCTTTTGTCTGCTCCTTTTTTTTTTTTTTAGTTTATGTTTTTTTCCTCTCTGTATACCACAGATGATCATTGAGTATTTGTTCTTTTCCCTTTGACTTATTTTACTTAGCATCCAAGTTCCATCCAAGTCATAGAAAACTGAAAGATCTTATTTTTCCTTATAGCTGTGTAATATTCTACTGTGTATGTGTGTGTATGTATGTATGTATGTATGTATCACAACTTTTTTAATCCACTCATTTGTCATTGAACATTTGAGTTTTTCCATATCCTAGGTATTGTAATTAATACCTTGTTCATTTGCTGCAAAAAAACATATAGGTGCATATGTCTATTCCTGATGTTATAGCTTTACATTTTTAAGAGTTTGGGGTTAGATCCCTGACATTACCCTGCGCCCTACACCTCCCTAAAAAAGAAGAAAATAAAAACTTTTCTATCCATTCTGTACATAGAGGTTCTAACTACTTTGTCTTTCTTTTGTCAAGAAGTTGCTTGTGAGACTAATATTTACTTGCAGTCTCCTCTCTGTGTTTCGTTCTTGTCTTTGTATTTTGTACTTTGGTTTTGGGGCCACACCCAGTGATGGCCAAGGATTTCTCCTGGCTCTGCCTCAGGAATCACTCCTGGTGGGCTGCAGGACCAAATAAGATGTGGGGTTCGAACCTGGATCGGCCATGTCTACGTGCAAGGCAGGCACCCTACCACTGTACTATGCCTCTGGCCCCTGATTCACTCTCTTGCCTGTCATTCCCAGCTTCGGTGCCTAATCAAAAGTCTTCCTCAAGCCACAGATCTGATATTTGGCAATGTTAACTTTTATAAAGTCTGCCTTTGTCCTCATTGGTTTCCTAGACTATGATACTTTCATTTTTTTGACTATTCCATCTCAGCCACCATAAGGCTCAGCAGTTTTCTGTAACTTTTTTTGTTGCATGTTTCTCTCTGAACATCTTTATTTGATCCCTTCTATCATACTTCATGCAGTACAGTGGCATCTCACTCCATTTTGACAACTGAATTTTGATTTTACTGTAAAGTAGATCCTAATGTGGAAAAATATATGTAAGACTAGAAGAATTTTTATAGAAAATAATAACTATGTGACTGCCACCTAGGATAAGGAAATAGTTATTCTCTGGAATTCAACTGGTTTATCTATTTTATATATAGGTATATTGAAGGCTCTCAAGTATATAGTATATAATATATATATTATAAAGTATTATATATATATGGGTGAGTATGTATATATGTGTGTGTGTGTGTGTGTGTGTGTGTGTGTGTGTGTGTATATTCTGGCCTCAGCTCTCTGCTGAGTCTCTTTCTGAGTCTCTTTCTGAATGTTCTGTAAGACTTCAAGTACATCAAGGTTGATATGTCTCAAACAAATCTCATCTCTTCCTAAGCTTGTGTCTCCGCTTGATTTCTGTATACTTAATTGAAGGTGTCATCATTCACTTGCATCTCTTAAACTAGAACTTTTAACCTTTATCTTCAATCTTCACTTTTAATGAAACAGTTAAAAAGTTAAAGACTACCTGATGTCTTCCTGGGTCTCTGTTCTTCTCCATGGGCACAGCGCCTGCCTTTCCCAAGTTAGCTCTTTCTGTTATGTTGATCAGATTCCTCACTGTCTTTTCACAGGACTGTTTGCCTCTTCAAGAGAGGTGCCTTCTTCTCAACAGGGTATCTTTTTTGTTTAATGGAATCACTGTGAGATACATGCATACAAAGTTGTTCATGATAGGTTTTAGTCATACAAAGTTCTGACACTCAGTTTCACAAGTAAATATTTTTTGCCACCAATGCCCCCACCCCAGTTTCCCAGTTTCCTCCCTGCTCCCCCAGCCTTTCTCTGTGGCAGGCACTTTACTTTTCTCCCTTCCTCCTTTTCCCTCTTTTTTCCTTTTAGACTCTGTGGTTTGCAGTACTGTTACTGAAAGGGCAACATGCATATTGTTTTATCTCCTTTCAGCACTGTTCCTGTCTGGAGTGATCATTTCCAACTATCATTGTCATAGTGGTCCCTTCTCCGTCCTAACTACATTCCCCTCCCCCTTTGTGGCAAACTTCCTACTATGGGCCAGTCCTTTTTTGCCCTTGTTTCTACTGTCTTTGAGTATTATTCTCCTATTACTTTTTTTTTTTAAATATATCCTGCAAATGAGTAGGATCATTCTTTTTCGGTTCCTGCCCCTCTGACTCATTTTACTCAGCATGATACTCTCCATGTCCGTCCATGTATAAGCGGATTTTATGACTTCATTTTTTCTAATTACTGTGTAGTATTCCGTTGTGTAAGTGTACCATAGTTTCTTTATCCGTTCCAGCAGGGTATCTTACTAGTATATGTTTTAGACTTGGTAAGTAATTGAATACATATTTTGTTTTTTAAAAAATATTTTATTGAAGTAACATTAGTTCATAGTAAGTTTTGGTGTGCACCATTATATTTCAGCATGTGGTCTATTACATTATGATAACCACCAAAAATCTAGTTTCCGTATACCACTGTACAATTGATCTCCTTACTAGTTCTGCTTAACCCACTTAAGAGAGTACTCTAAAATTGAAATAGAAATCTTTTTTTACTTGTATAAACAGAATTAAGACTTAAATGAGAACAGGTTTGAATGGTTACTTGTTGATTTAAACATTTTTAATGACAAGAAATAAGAATACTTTCTTTGATTTGGTACTTTTTATGTTCTTTTATCTTTCTCTTAGGAAAGGCTAGTAGGAAAAACCAAAAATGGAGAGGACCAGATGAAAACATAAGGGCAAATCTTCGTCAGTATGGTTTAGAGAAGTATTACCTTGATGTGTTAGTTTCAGATGCATCTAAACCTTCCTGGAGAAAAGACACGTATTTTGATGCAATCATCACTGATCGTAAGTTTATGGTATCAAAAGAGTGGTAGGATTTGTTTCCTAACACCCTATTTATTTTTAAACATAGGTTATTTTCATCTTTTATGTTCTTCAATTTTTAGAGAAGGAAAGAAGAAATCAACAAGGAAAGAAAAAAGTTGTGTATCACAAAGCTAACTTGGCAGAGCCATTTGCATTTAAAGTACAAAATTTATCAACACACATGCAACTTACACTAGTATATACGCCACCCTTGAAAATTATGAATTTAGGATATTAGTTTAACTATGTAGTTAAAGTTTGCCTTTTTGTTTTTTATACTCCACTAACATGCTGTCTTCCCCCCCTCCCCCCAGCTTATTTGAGGCATGCATTTGGGTTTTGTTGTTGTTGTTTGTTTGTTTCACAGTTGGTTGTAGTTGATTTTTGGCATTTTAGTTGGAGTGATAGCACAGTGGGTAGGGCGTTTGCCTTGCACGCGGCTGACACGGCTGACCCGAGTTCCATTTATCTGCCCCTCTCGGAGAGCCCGGTAAGCTACCGAGAGTATCTCACCTGCACAGAAAAGCCTGGCAAGCTACCTGTGATGTATTGGATATGCCAAACATAGTAACAAGTCTCACAATGTTACTGGGCCTGCTTTAGCAAATCGATCAACAATGGGAGGACAGTGACAGTGACAGTTATAGCCAAATGTTATTTGCCATTATGTCATCGGATTTTGAAGCAGATTTTTAGATATCACATATTGCTCTGTCTGCAGTCTTTTATTAGTTTCATAACGCTTGTTTTCATTGGCATCTTTCTAGAAGTACAGGAAATTTGGGGTATAGTGAACATGGGGCTTGTGAGCTCTCTGAACGTCAAGAATGGGCTTAAGTACTTGTTTTCCAGCACCTTGTTTGTGCTTAGGCTATTCAGTCTTCTTAACTCACAGCAGTAGACCTTTTCAACAGTGTTGCAAAGTAAATCTGTAAGTAGTGACAAAGGACTACCTCGGCTCCTTTCTCTCAGCCCTATTTAGCTTTTTGGTGCCTTCAATGGTTCAGACCTAACAAAATAAACTCATCAAGGCACTATGATGCCTGTATGACTCTGCTTCAGTAAAGTTGGGTAACTTTTTATCAGCAGTCTACTTTATTGCTATCATATTCTAAATTTATATGAAAAATACATAGTTTTTGGTTGGGGTGGTTATACCTGGAAGTGCCCAAAGATTACTTCTGGTTCTGCACTCAGGAATCATTCCTGGCAGTGCTCAGGGGACAGTATGGGGTGTTGGAGATTGAACCTGGCTCACCTGTGTGCAAAGCAGCACCTTACCTGCTGTATCATCTCTCCAACCCCAAAAATATTTCTTTCGTAATTAGAGTAAAATGTGCACATTGTGGCCCCTCTCCCCTATATCTTCAGTATATATTCCTAATAATAATCAGGCACATTCTTGTAGGTTGCCAGATAATAATTGTCAATTTAATTAAGTTGATAGAATACTTTCTAGGTTCTCATTGAATTTTATCAATTGACTTAGAAGTATATTTTATCCCATGTTTTCCCCTTAACTATAGTATTAGCTAAGATTTTGCCATAATATCTTTTAGGCCTGCTTTACTTTCGAACATTCCCATCTTTGGCATTTTAGACAGCAGTCAGAGACTCACCTTCCTGCCCCCATGTTTTAAAATGGAATGTTCCTTGCATTACACAGTCTCAGCTGCAGTATGGCATGCGTGATGTCATGTCTTAGTAGTCACATTCGGTGGCATGTGATGCCTCTCATTGGTGTTTAGGTGACTTTCGACTATCTCTATTAAATACATGTGTTTTCTTTGTAGCTCCTTATGGTATCAGAGAGTCGACGAGAAGAACAGGTTCACAGAAGGAAGTACCAAAGGGAATAGAAAAATGGTAAGTGAAATGAAGTATACCTTACCACGTTGAAGGAGATATTTTTTTCTGATTACAGTTTTAATGTTTTTCAAATTTTGATGTTTTCTTTTCTTTGTCTAGTCCAGAAAGCCATGTTCCTGTCTCCTTGAGTTATCATCTGAGTGATATGTTTTTTGACCTGTTAAACTTTGCAGCTGAGACGCTTGTATTAGGTGGAAGACTTGTCTATTGGTTGCCAGTGTACACACCAGAGTATGTAATATTATATTTATTTATTTATTTATTTGCTATTCCAGATATTGAAACCAGGGCCTAACCTGTGCAGGGCAAGTGCTTTACCACTGAGCTGTATCCCAGCTCTAAATATATTTTAAATAAAAGCTGTCTTGTGGTTGTGTAACTAACATTTTTTCTTACTGCTAATTATATTCTATACAATCACAGCGAGCTACAGGGACGCCACTGGGCTGGAGCGATAGCACAGCGGTAGGGTGTTTGCCTTGCATGCCAACAACCCGACCAACGCGGGGTCAATTCCTCCACCCCTCTCTGAAAGCTCGGCAAGCTACTGAAAGTATCGCGCCCACACGGGAAAGCCTGGCAAGCTACCCATGACATATTCAATATGCCAAACACAGTAACAACAAGTCTCACAATGGAGACGTTACTGGGCCTGCTCGAGCAAATCATTGAACAATAGGAGGATAGTGACAGTGACAATTGTATTAATGATAAATATCTTTGTATTTGTTGTATATAGGATAACCTTAATTACATATGAGTATAAAACAATTCTTTTATTGGTTGAATTGCTTTGATCTTTTCTTACTGCATCAGGTTGGCAAACTATGGCTGTGGACCAGTTAAGGTCCTCACCTGTTTTTTTCTTAAACATTTGAGCCAGAATTTATGTTTTACATTTTTAAGGATTTATGTTTTACATTTTTAAAGAATTTTATGGCTAAGACTTTTTAATGGTTACTTTAAAATGATTTCATATAAGAAAAGATGATAAGTATAAGGTTACTATTAGATATAGTAAGATATAGATATATATATATATATATATGATAAGTATAAGATTACTATAAGATATAGTATAAGGGGATGGAGAGATAATTATAGTAAGGTGCTTGCCTTGTGCCCGGCTGATCCCAGCTACAGTCCCCTACACTGCATTTGATCATCTGAGCACCAAGCTTGCTCCCTGAATATAGAATCAGGAGTAAGCCCTGACCACCTCTACTTGTGGCACCAAAAAAAAAAAAAAAATTAAGAAAGATACAGTGCAAAAAGTAAAAACTAACAGTTTTTTATTTTTAAAAACTAAAAGTAAAAAACTAAAAAGTAAAAGTAAAAACAGTGAAAAGTAAAAATAAAGTGAAAACTCACAGCTCTTTCCTTATCCAGACTTCCTATCAGTATTATGTCTACTCTACTTTCCTTCTCCAATCTCTCATAAGCTTGTGTCCATTAATCACATACTTATTGTCAGTCTCTTTGGGGCTAGTTGGCAAGTTGTAGGTAGGCATCTGGATAGCAGTGAATTTGGCTGCATAAATGAACTTAATAAGATTAAAGGGCTACTATTGCTCCTGCATACTTCACTGCATTTTCTAGAATTAAGAAAACTTTTATCAGTCCTCCATGCCTGAAAACTAATATTGATAAGAACACTACTGTTCGTCCTTGACATTTTTATGGAGTACATGATTACATGATGTATATTGTGCAGGTTGACCACCCCCTGTCCCCCCCCCCCCCCCGCCTCCCCACCAGAGTGCATCTGCTCTTTCTTTTAACTAAGAACATGCTCAGTCACCAGCAACAGTCCTAAGCTTGATCCGCTTGTCATGTTCTTTGTCGGGCTTCTTCATGGTGCGTCGTTATTTCTCCCTGATTAGTATTACAGGCGAGATCTCCAGATTGCAGCCCTGTTTCTCTTCTGACCCCTGCTCACACTAAGAACTCCATTATTGATTGCCGTCATGGTGATGACTGCTCTGTCCCTTCAGTCCCCCTGCATGTGTAAGTTCATACGCTCCTGCCAGAAAGGTTTCTTTTATCCCTCATCCGCTTAGTATCTGTGATTGCCCTGGAGTCAGAGATTCCGACATTATTTATTGAATTATAACTTAATGTCTATCACCATTTATTTTGTTGCTCAAATTGCTCCAGATCGGGTCAGTGGGAATCTCTTTTGTAGTTTTTATTTATTTCTTGCTTTTAATAAAAAGTTCAGTGGTAACTTTTGTCTTTTTTTTTAATCTCAGTATTTCCTAAGAACATGGATATTTCTTAAGTGATTTCTCTGTTTCAATAATTTTTGAAATTTCCAAATGCTTTTTAACTAATGGGATATTTTAGAAGTAGCAAAAGGAGAGTCAAGTTATTAGCCTCCCCGCCCGCCCCTTTTCCCTTAGCTGTTTTATCCAAGGGTAGGTTTTGCACAGGTATATGGCTAGCACATACCTGGAAAACTACAGATTCATTGACTCCACTGATTTACTCATCCGGAAAGAGTTACTTTCTTATTCTCTGATTCTCATTATTAGACATCTCTTTTCTTCAATTAATAAATTTAGTTTGTCTGGAATTTATATTAGCAAATGAACTGTATTCATTTTAAAGCATATATCACCCCCAAATCTTTATTCTTTTATTTATAAAAATTTATAAAATAGCAGTTTTAGGACGAATTGAAGATTAATGTCATCTGCAAGAGTTGGAAATAATGTTCTTTAGAATTAGTTTATGTTATTCAGCATGCATCTTATATTAAAAATAGAGATTTTTATTGGATGAGAATTAATTTTAAAAAAATTGTAGTTTGGCACAGCTTTTATTTTAAAAATGTATTTTGGAATAGCGAACATAGCCATTTAGTGCCACTATTGAATTAATTTACTAAGCAAAGTCCAGTTACATGATCCAAGTTTTTAAAAAAATAAATCACATATGATAAAAGTCTTAAATCCTGGACTTTGTTTTTAATGTTTTAAGACATGACAAAAATAATTACTGCCTAAAAGCATGGTTATTTGTCAGAATTATCAGGTGATAACTGGAATGGGATTTTCTCAGTGTCACAATTTAAATTTTTATAAAAACCTACTAATGAGGTTCCTGCTGTTTTTCTTTCTCATGTCTAGCCCACTGGAGGCTGTTGGAATTTTTGCCTTAAGATCCTCTGTGCTCTCATCTTTTTACTTTGGTTTATTCTAACCCCATTGCTTGACTGTATCCTTTCTTCTTTCCTCAGATAGTGAAATACTAGTCATCTTTCAAAGCCTAGATTAATTTCTGTGTTTTTATTTCTATGACACTTTACTGCTCTTCTTAGCAGAATTAATCAAACCCTTCCTTTGTGCTTATTGTTGTTTATCTTAACCTCTTACTCATAAAGACTGGTCACATAAAGTTATTTGTCAGATATGAGTATTTGTAGGTAGTATTTATACTTCCAGCTCTTTACAACTTTATAGTGTACCTTTAGACAAAGTTGTGTTTGATGTTATTGGAGTTATTGAGTGATTATAGTTGTTTTTACCGATTTATATTTATTTTTTAAATGGTCATTACAAACAGATAATTTTCTTTTGTTTTTTTTAATTTTTATTACTGAACACCATGAGGTACAGTTGTAGACTTAAAAATTTTTGTGCTTGGGTTTCAGTTATGCAATGATCAAATACCCATCCCTCCACCAGTGCCCATTTTCCACCACCACTGATCCAGGATCCCTCTCACCCCCCATCTCCCCAATCCCACCCTGCCTCTGTGGCAGGGCATTCCCTTTTGTTCTCTCTCTTTTTTGGGTGCTGTGGTTTGCAAAAGAGGCATTGAGTGGCAGTCATGTTCCACCTGTAGTCTACTTTCAGCATGCATCTGCCATCCTGGGAGGATCCTCCCAACACCCTTTATTTGGTGCTCCCTTCTCTATCTGAGCTGCCTTTTCCCCTAGCTTGTGCGGCTGTCCTCCAAGCCATGGAGTGAACCTCCTGGTACTAATCTCGGCTATTCTTGGGTGTTAGTCTCCTATTTTGTTACTTTATGTTCCCCAGATGAATGCAATCTTTCTATGTCTTTCCCTCTCTTTCTGACTCATTTCGCTTAGCATGATACTTTTCATGTATTACCACTTGTATGTAAATTTCATGACTTCATCTTTTCTAACAGCTACATAGTACTCCATTGTGTAAATGTACCAAAGTTTCTTTAACCAATCATCTGTTCTCAGGCACTCAAGTTTTTTCCAGATTCTAGCGATTGTAAACAATGCTGCAATGAACAAACAAGTGCAGATGTCACTTCAACTATACTTTTTTGCCTCTCTGGGATATATTTCCAGGAGTGGTATTGCTGGGTCAAATGGGAGCTCAATTTCTAATTTTTTGAGAATCGTTATCCAAAAGGGCTGAACCAGTCGACATTCTCACCAGCAGTGAAGAAGGATCCCTTTCTCGCTACATCCACTCCAACACTGGTTGCTTTTGTTCTTTTGGATGTGAGCCAGTCTCTGTGGTGTGAAATGTTATCTCGTTTTGATCTGCATCTCTCTGATGATTAATGATGTAGAGCATTTTCTCATGTGTCTTTTTAGCCATTTGAATTTCTTTGAGAAAGTTTCTGTTCATTTTGTCGCCCCATTTTTTGATGGGGTTGGATGTTTTCTTCTGGAGTTCAACCAGTACCTTGTATATCCTTGATATCAACCCCTTTTCGGATGTGTATTGGGCAAATATCCTTTCTCATTCTGTAGACTGTCTTTATATTTTAGTCACTGTTTCTTTTGAGGTGCAGAAGATTCTTAGCTTAAGATAGTCCCGTTTGTCTATCTCTGTTTTCACTTGCTTGGCCAGTGGTGTGACATCTTTGAAGATACCATCTGCTTCGAAGTCATGGAGGGTTTTGCCAGCTTTGTCTTCAGTGTGCCTTATGGATTCTGGTCTGATGTTGAGGTCTTTAATCCATTTTGATCTTACTTTTGTACCTGGTCTTAGGCAGAGATTTGAGCCCTTTTTTTTTTTTTTTGCATGTAGCCATCCAGTTTTGCCAACACAATTTGTGAAAGAGGCTTTCCTTGATCAACTTCACATTTCTTGCTCCCTTATCAAAGATTAGATGATCATATGTTTGGGGGGAGATGTCAGTATGTTCAACCCTGTTCCATTGGCCTGCAACTCTGCCTTTGTTCCAGTACCATGCTGTTTTAATTATTACTGCTTTGTAGTAGAGTTTGAAATTAGGGAGGTTGATTCCTCCCAGTTTCTTTTTCCCAAGAATTGCTTTAGCTATTTGTGGGTGCTTGTTGTTCCATATGAATTTCAGGAGTACAGATAATTTTCTTGAAGGAAATAGAAATGGTTTCTTTGTGAAAGATGCCACATGTTAGAAATCTGATTGCTAATGCTTGTAATAAAAATGGTAAGTGCCTCAAAGCCTTATATAGGAATAAATTCTAATTGAAAAATACTTAGTTTTGTAATGGCTCAAAGCAATGAGGAGAACATTTTATTTCTTTATTTATGAAACAGGAAATGATTATTACTTAAATTCTTTTCAGTAAGTGTTTTAGTCAATGCAAATTTTTTTTCTTATTTTGTTGTTGTTGATTTTGGCTTTTAAGTCACATTCAGTAATGCTGAGGGCTCCACCTGGCTCTGTGCCACAGGTACTCCTGACAGGGCTTGGGGGGCCAAGTAGGTTGCTGGCAATTGCACCCAGGTTAGCCATGTGCAAGGCTAGTGCCTTATCTGCTGTGTTATCTCTCTGCCCCCAAAATTTGTCAAATGAGAGGTGAAATTCTAGTGACTTTTGGAGATAGCTTGATGCATAAAGAGTCACAGGAAAATGGGTGACTCTAATTGATTCATGGAAAAGTGAGGACCTTTGCACATAGGTTTTTGTTCTGTTTTTAATTTCATTGTTGTTTGGGTTAGATAGTTACATTTGTGCCAAAGTATATGATGGTGATGTATAAGTTACTGCTCTGATGTCAGAGTGCCCTTGATCTTGCACCAGTATCCCTCAGTTCTCCCCGGTTGTCATTATTTCCATTCCCCGTCCTCCAGGGTTTGGTAATCAGTATTGTAATTCAAGGTCAAAGTTTGTCATTGATAATTGTCTTTTTCCTTGTTTTGTCTCATTATATTGTGCAGCTTAGTGAGATTTTCCAGTATTTTTCCTTCTCTTTCTGATTTACTTGTTCCACGTTGCAGAGAATTCATCTTTTCTTAGAGCTGCATCGTATTCATATATATGTGTGTGTGTATGTATGTATATATTTATGTGTGTATTATACAGACACACATACATAAACACAAAGATAAAGTTGAAAAGATAATCTAAAACACTTGAATTAATTTTTGTGTTCTTAAGCTACATACCTAGGAACTTTATTTCAGCTCTTATGCATTATCTATGTCAGAAACATTAAAATTTTATTTTGTAATTTCAGATTATATTATAAATTTGGTTTTGGTTTTATTGTTATTGGAAGGATACAATTATAGTGGTTTTATATATAATTTATGTGTGCATATCAAGTCAGTTCTTCCAGGGAAGTAAAAATGTTTTCCTTTACAAAGGATATATTACTTAGCTAACAGACGCTTATTTCTGGTATTTACAAACCCGATTATGCAAACTTAAGGTCAACATTTATCTTCTCTCTGATACTACTTTAAAAATATTAGTCTTTCCATCACCATTTATGTTTGATTCCTGCATATCACAAATGTTTTTGTATGAGGACTCTAAATATGGTATAATTGATATAATTAAAGTATACTTCTCACTATAGTGACCATTCAAAAATTATTAGGTGAAGGTAAGATCTGAAACAGTCATGACTTATTGGAAAACCCTAAAGTAGGAGGCAGAGAATGACTTCAAGAAAATTCCTTCCACTGATAAGTAAGTGGAGTGCTTTCTGAATGGTAATTGATAAGTGGGTGATGAAGGTTTGGAGCATGTGGCCGAGGTTATGAGGGAGAGCTGGTTGAAGGTCAGACAGTTCTAAAAAGTCTGCAAGAGTGATGGTGGAGACTATGTTGATACAGGAGAATGGGCTATTGAGACCGTGGTCCTTTATGGGAAATATTAGTGAGCACCTTTCCCATTTGGTTAAAGCTTTTGTTTTTCTTTTCGGACCACCCCCAGCAGTACTCCTGGCTTACTTTTGGGTCACTCCTGGTTGTGCTTGGGACCACATATGTGGTACTGAAGAGCAAACCTGGGTTTGCAGTGTGAGGTGCAGGCATCTTTACACTGAAACTCTCTCTCTCTCCTTCCCCCCAACTTAAGGTCTTTAAAATTGCTCAGTTGTTTGCAGAGACTAAATATATAAATATTTAGACCTTTATAAATATGAAGGTTTGCTAAGGAAAAATAAAAACTGATAATCACAGTGTTCTTTATTGTACCTAAGTGAGCTCTCTGTCCTACAGTTGTTGATCATTTTACAACATAACTATTTCATGTTTATCACCTTTTTTTTTTTTTGGCCAGAATTTAACCTTGTCAGATGTTAGGTTTTCAATACACTTGACTGCTTACTTTTTGGGTGTAAAAAAAATCCTGTCATACATTGCTGAATGTACAACTGTAATTCTCACTGCTTAGTGTATTGACCTTGGTGTTATTTCAGAGTCACAGTGACTTGACAACATCCAGTCGTTCTTTTAGAGATAGTTTTGACTAGATTTGAATAATCCTACAAATGACTTTAGTTCTATATTATAGTTTTCAGAGATCTAAAGATGCTACTAGCATTTTTCAGGGACCTAGAAAAATGTCCAAGTGCATTGTATCACAGGGTTGTTGCAGCTAAATTTTTGTCTTATGCCATCTTGAGGAACCATTAGGAAATTTTTCTATTTCTGTGACTTAAATGTTTAGTAAAATACACTTGCATGGTCTCTTTCTCATTCTTCAGTTAAATGAATTAAACTGTTTTTTGGGGGGGATATGTAATACATAAAAAATACTTTGCTTTAAAATATAGAGATTGTCTAGGTTAATACTGTGACTGTTAGGATATTTGAAGTAAGATATTGTAGCCTGTCGTAAGATAAGTGTTACCGTCCTCATTGGAGTACCCCATCATATTCCTGGGTGGGGTGTCTGTGTGAGTATTCAAGACAGCTTTTCTTACTTTTCCTTTAGATACACTGAGGAGATGATACCTTGGCACCCTTGCCTGAAACTCATTAGCAATTGCGAGCAGAAGCTTTCTAGTCACACATCAAGGCGCTTGATAACAATGGAGAAGGTGAAAGAGTTTGAGGTAAATTACCCTAGTACTTTCAATTTCACTTCTGACAGAATCAAAAGTATATATTTTTTTGAAATAGTTCAGTGGAGTTTGAAAATGTTACATCTTTGTTTGTTTTTTAAATTTTATGTGGGAATTCAGAAAGAGGCTCCAGGTTTGTGGCATTTGGTGGGACCTGAAGGGTCTGAGTGAGATCTAGAGAAGTTAAACGAGGCCTAGAAATGAAAGTTGACAGTAACTTCCTAGGCCTTACTTGATATTATTGATGCTAAGTCAGTTATATAGCAGAGCATTCCTAAGCAGCTGTTATATAATTAGCAGTTGTCCAGTTATCATTTTTCTACAATCTTGATTATAGGCTCTGTGTATGCTGGAATGAATGTACTGCATTCATAACGAGTTGAGGGGCTAGAGAGGTAGTGCAGAGAGTAAGATACATGTCTTGCACACAGCTGACTGCAGTTTGATCCCCACAACTGCATGGTCTCCTAAGCATCACTGGTGCAGCTCTGAAGGCCCCTAGGCACTGCTAGTTTAGTAAATTCCGTAAAATACACTTGCATGGTCTCGTTCTATAGTTATAGTTAGTTATAGTCCCTGGAGGTCCAGCCAGCACCGCAGGGCCCAAGCCGCACTGTCTTCTTGGGGCTCTTGAGTGCATTGGGCCACTTCGCTCTTGTCAGAGCATCTCTGGGGGAGGCCTCTGGGCCTCCTGAGGAGGGCTTAGGAAGTTCCCCTGCTGCTCCACCAAAAACTAAGTTCAGCGACTTAGATAGAATAAAGTGAGTTGCTTAAAAAGAATCTTGGGGTGGAAAATGGGTGGCATTAATTTTTATAAAAGGTTGGAAGAAAAGTTAATGAAATCTGGGCTTCTATACCTATGTTGCTTTTTTTTTTTTTAATCTAGTCACTGTGGAATTCAAAAGGTACTCATGATTAGGTTTCAAGCACACAGTGTTTCAGCCACAGTTCCTTCACCAGTATTCACTTCCCTCCCCCAGTGACTTCCCTCCTCCCTCCATATTTGCTTCCTTCCCATCCTGCTTTTATGAGACCCACTGCTTTGAAACATACATTTTTGCAGTGTGATTTGCAGTGCTGTTGCTGATAGGGTTTCATACACAACACTTGACCACTTTTTATTTTCCTTTTTGGGTCACACCCAGCGATGCTCAGGGGTTACTCCTGGTTCACACACTCAGGAATTATCCTGGCGGTGCTCGGGTGACCAATTATCCTGGGATGCTGGGAATTGAAATAGAGTTTTGTAAGTTTTTTTTGTATAGGTCTTTTACCTCTTTAGGTAAGCTGCTGTTGAGATACTTGATTTTGTGAGGCATAATTGTGAATGGAAATTTTTTTTTTTAAATCTCTTTCTTCTCTTTCACTATTTGCATACAAAAAACCCCACAGACTTTTACATGTTTTGGAGCCTGCCTACATTGCTTTTTAATAGTTTCAAGTTTTTTTTTAAATTTTTTTTTAGAAGCACAAACGAAATATATTTGTAATTCTTGTGTCGGGCTGGAGCCATAGCACAGCGGGTAGGGCATTTGCCTTGCATACGGCTGACCCAGTTTGATTCCTCCGCCCCTCTCGGAGAGCCGGGCGAGCTACCGAGAGTATCTCGCCCACAGGGCAAAGCCTGGCAAGCTACCCGTGACATATTCAATATGCCAAACACAGTAATGACAAAGTCTCACAATGGAGCCGTTAACTGGGCCCAATCGAGCAAATCGATGAACAACGGGGAGGACAGTGCTATAGTGCTACAGATTCTGTCAAGTTAGGTACATATTTTTTGTGTTAAAGTGTTTTATTTACAAAGCATTTTTAGTTTTTCCTGCTTTTACCATTTCAGCTAACTATGGTCTTAGTCTGCTTGAGCTCCTGTGATGGAACTCTACAGATTCACTCTTAAATAATAGAATCTTACTTTCTCACGGTTCTGGAGGTTACAAGTCTGAGCTCAGCTGTCAGTACATTTATTTGACTTCTGATAAGATCTTTTCCTGAGTTGCAGACAGCTGTGCCTTCTCCCCCTTTCTTCTGTGCATACACCCTCCTGCTGTTTCTACCTAGGATTTTTTGGGAGGTCAAAGGGGTGGGGGATGTTAGTGATACTTGGGCAGGGTAGTTTGGGCCAACACTGTGGTGCATTGGGGCTATTCCTGGTGCTGGGCTCAGGAGTGACCCCTGGTGGTCAGAGGTAACCATTGCTGGCACCTGGGATCGTCCACCTGCCTTTGCTGCTTGCAAGGCAAAAGCCTCACTTCCTGTTCTCTGGCTCTAGCCTCCCTCCTCTTGTTATACCGTCCTGTTGGATTAGGGCCCTATTCTTTTGATCTCGTTTAATTTTCTCTCCGGAGTACTCTGTTTCCAAATATGTATATACTAAGTGTAGGGCTTCAGCGGACTACAGTGTCATAACACTTTCATACCAATATTACCAGCACACAACACATTGAAGAAGGGGTTTCTGTTGAATGTTAGGGTATGCTTTTCTTGTCTTACAGTTGGTTATTTATTTCTGATTTATATGTTTGTCTCATTGTATTTTGAAATAAGGCATTTGTAATTCAAATAAGAGTTTGTAATTTAGAAACCATGCCACTTAATGTAATTATTTGAGTTAATAGTAGCACTGCCTGTAGCACTGTCCTCCCGTTGTTCATCGATTTGCTTGAGCGGGCCCAGTGATGTCTCCTTTGTGAGACTTTGTCGTTACTGTGTTTGACATATTGAATATGTCACGGGTAGCTTGCCAGGCTTTGCCGTGCGGGCAAGATACTCTTGGTAGCTTGTCAGGCTCTCCAAGAGGGGCGGAGGAATCAAACCCAGGTTGGCCACGTACAAGGCAAAAGCTCTACCGGCTGTGCTATCGCTCCAGCCCGAGTTAATAATAATAGCAACGAAACTGTATATTCCAGGCACATGAGTTATGCACAGGGGAAAAAAAGAAATATTGTTGGTGAATTTTTGTAGTGTAAGTCTTGCTATTAGAAAGTAAAGTCTTTTGTGTTCTTTATTATGTGGCTCCATAAACAGCACCATGATGGTTATGATGGTTTGAAACCCTAATATTTAATGGAGCCGCATTATACATGAGTTACTTTTATTTTAATGGCAAAAAACTCATGGTGGACAATTTTATATTTTCTTTCCTCCCATTTAATTTAAGAAACTCTGGTGATTATTTTTTCCCTCCAGATTTATAGTCTTAGAAAAATTAGTAAATTAATTTGTCACTTAGAAGAAATAGAGAATGATCTGAGGAAGCCTGTAGGCATTTTTCTCCTGCATACAAGTAAGAGTACAAGGGCACTTACCTTAGATAATTTTAAGTGAATAAGGACTGTGTTAATTTTTAAAAAATCTTTTTGTTGTCATTAATTTCAAGTTATTTTGAAAACTAAGGGGAAAGTATTGGTTAACAGTTTTGTTGAAATGCTCTTCATTTTTGAGATGAAATTTAATCAGTGAGTTTTAACTAGTATATTTATTGTAACTGAAAATACTTTAGTAGTCATGTTAAATTAATCATGCTTCATTTTTTATTAATGACTTCATTTCTACTTTCTGTTTGTATGGAGAGGAATGTATATAATTACAGCAAGATCCCAGTCCTTAGTAATGCAAGTGATGACATAAAATTGTCAAACAGTTCTCATACAAGTCTAACAAATTATTCTTGGGTTTGTTCAGCATTGTTGATTTTGGCAATGGAAGGCTATTAATTTTAGATTTTTACACTTTTGTATATTGAATCTCTTCATTTTTCATTTGTCATTTGTTAGTTTTAACTTTGGTATAACTTTCGGCCCACTTCATATGTTGTTACTAAAGAGCTCCACCTTTCACACCTTTAAAATGTAAATACAGGTATAAGTGTAAGAACTGTCTAAAGAGTGAATATTTTGGGGCCGGAGTGATAGTACAATGGGTAAGGATCATATGCCTTCCACAGAGATGACTTGGGTTCATTCCTCAGCACCCCATGTGGTCCCCAAGCACCAGGAATAATTTCTGAGCAAAAAGTGCGTATTTTACATTATGTATCTTTACAGTATTAACTTTTTTAAAAAAAAACTTGCTTATTGAATATTAAAGTAATAAGAACTTTCTTGCTAACCATGCTTAAATTATGAAGATGACTAATAAGAGCTTGGATTTTGTTTTGTTTTGTTTTGTTTTTGGGTCATTATTTTCTGTTGCTATAGTATAAAAAGTAAAGTGAATGAAAGACAAATCTTTCATCTCCATTTGAAAAATCTTTCATCTCCATTTGACCAGATTATTTTTGCTCATTTTAGAGATAAGGAAGCTCTATTAGCCTATTTCTATGTAAATATGAAGTGACTGAGTTGAGGAGAAAACTACTTGTTTCTGAAATTTTTTTCCTCTCATTTTTTAAACCTTATTGCTTCTTTACCAAAACATTCTTCTGCTTTTAAAATTATTCTTGAGTGACATGGAACTTAAGTTTCTAAAAATCATTTTTCTTGTTTTGGGGTGGTGTTAGAATGTGACTTCTGTTACTTGAGCTCATTTTTCTTCATACAATTTATTGATGCTACTGTATGTAGTTCTGTGGTCATAGTGGTTACTCCTGTAAAAAATTTTTTTTATAGAAAATTCATAGAGGAAAAATTCTGATCTCTGAGGTTTTCCAGAACAGATCAGAATATGACAGTTTTAATCATTGTGTCCTCTGTGAAAGTTACCTAAGGTAGTCCTCTTTCTTTCATACTCGTGTATGAATAACTTTCGTAGCTCACTCAAGGACTTACGTAAATGCAAGCAATTTAATTTGTCATTGCAATAAACAAGCCACCCAGTACCCTGTTTGTTTGGTGACATTAACCTGGCATATGCCGTCCAGGTATTTAGGAAGTACTGAAGTATAGGTCAGTTTAATTTGGATGTTAACTTAGACTAACCTTACTAATATTTTACAAATTATCTGTCTTTTTTTTCCTTCCAGAGAGCCAGTACAGTTCAAATAATTTATA